CTGCTCTGAGGTAAAGAATTTTCTTGGAAACATTTTTGCAATTAAGACATGACTATCATATTTTATTTGGACAGAAGAACTGTTTGTTAGACCATTGAAGAAGGTGAGCCTATGAATTATTTTAAAAACTATTTTCCCAGATCAGGCTTTCATTTGAGTGGTGTAAAAATGTGTTATAAAATTTAAAGAAAGCTCATGATGTAGAAAACAATTTAAAATAAAAAACATTTCAATTTCTCATAAAGTTCATAGAAATTGAAGTTAGATATTTCCGTTATAGATGTGCAATTGCAGCTTTGAGTTACCAAAGGTATTTGAGGAGTGACAAAAATAATGACAAACTTAACAGTTTACAATAATTTGAGGTTGGAACACCCCATATTCTCTTGTGGTGAGAACACAAATTGTTTAAATTTGGATGCTATTTCAATCAGAACAGAAAGTTTGATAGTGCTCTTAGAATTGGAAAAATCTTTATTTTACATGTTTTATGTTTTTAGCTTTATGTAATTTTTTCTGACTGTTTGCCCATTGCCTATCTTGAGAATTGTTTACCCAGAGTGAATCTAGATGATTATTTTTCAACCATACCCCCAAAACCCCAAAATATTTAGTATTTATGGGTTAAAGAAAAGTTAAAGATATTCTAAAGATAGACATAGTTTATAAATTTACTACAAGTGTTTACCACCCTCATAATAATTCATTATTACTGTTAATGTTTCACAATAATAACTTTATATGAGTGCAATCCTTCCTTTAATCCTTTAGAAACTGCTGAAGGCAAAAATTAACAGATGCAAAAGAGTACTCTCCAAAATTTAGTCAAGGAAATTGATCTATTATTCTACCAAATGTCAGTAGATAAATGATTAATATTGTTCAAAACATGGTTGAAATTTAGTATACGGTACACCCTTAGAAAAGCGTGGCGGCGGGGCTTAAGCCCTAATTACTGTACGTGCTCTAATAGAAATGAATAAAACTTACAGTTAGGCGATTTTCATGGCTCACCCTTCATACGCTTTGCCCCCGCTGCATTGTAATGCCAATTTACTTTCAAAGGCAAGTTTTCTCGCTTCGCTCACCCGGATCCAAGTCATGGTGAGGCTCAAGCCTTTGGCCCTCGTGTTCACTATAAACATCTTTGTGTCTATCCAACGCATAATTACCAATTCACTTTTTTAAGACATCACTTTTCAAGAAAGCCTCCAGAATTCTAACTGCCTAGTTAACGCCAGAACGGCGCAAAGTGCCGGTTTAAACAACTTCCTTAGGTTGTACTGTGTACTACATTTCAGCCAAAGCATTAGTTACCCAAACTAGGATTCGAACCCACAATAATTAAGTAAATGAATAACAATTAATTACATTTTCTTCTAGTTTCAAGTTAAGTTTTAAAGTGTCTCAGTAGTACAATAGAAGTAAATTTACTTTGTTTTTGACAGTAATAACATAATATTTATTTGAAATTCAAAAGATATTTTAATTTATAAAACAGAAAATTCAAAGCAGTTAGATTAATGGATTAACTTATATTGTCAGGCCCATGATTGATAATTTTACTTATTAGAAAAATGGCGCAAGCATAGTTTTGACACCCCTCTATGATAAACATGCTTATCTGCTCAGTCTGTAAGCCACTTCAGTTTGAGGGCTTGAGTGTGTTTGCTTTTATGAAAACATTTTTCATCCTTTAGATATCTCTTGTAATGATTTTATTCATTTACATATGAATTTTTAAGTCACCAATCGTTTGAACCAATTAATTAAATAATTTGTTAACCCCTCAGTGTTCAACATCATTGCACCAGATGAGTCTTGTTGTATAGGACACCACAATATTGTGACTGCTGATTTAGGGGGGTGGGGGGTGGGTGTCCAAAATTTCCATTTATTTACTATGACCTCCTGTCTTGCAGAAATACACTTCCCTGACTGGAGAGACCTCAGTGACTGTACGTTTGTGCGTGGCTGTGAAGCGGAAGCTCCAGCTGTACTACTGGAAAAATGGCTCCTTCCTGGAACTCAGTGAGGACCTGGCAGTGCCGGATGTGCCTCGCGCACTCGTTTGGTGCCAAGAGACTCTGTGTGTGGGCTTCAAGGGAGAGTACAGCCTTGTACACGTGAGTTTGTGATGTACTTGTGATTGTTCAACATCAAACTCAGAGAAGGAAAATGTTACTCCAGCTCCAAAGAGATGTAACTTTTCAGAAAATGGGAAAGCATTTAATTATTAAATAAATGTATATATTTTGAACCTAAGCATGTGATTACTAAAGGATAAATAGCACTAGTTATTAGAAGAAGCTGGATGATAGTAGGAGTCATCATAAACTTTTCAAACAAATATGAATTTTTAGTGATAATTTTTCCACTTTCAGAGGCAAATTAATGATAATTTATTATGTATTGACTTTTAAATTCAAATTAATCAAAAGTGATTAGTTGCTCTGTTGTAAAAAATGCTCAAAATAACTCTTATACTAATATATATTTTTGTTTTAATTATATATTATATCTTAGTTTGTTCAAAGTTGCAACATTTTATTACCTTTGTGGATAAGAGATGATGGGGCAATTTTTAACTGCTTTTTGTATCTAATTACGGTTATATGTTTTGAATTGAACTATTGAAATAAGAAATAAATTACGATATGCCCCGGTCCTGACATGCATACTTTAAACCAGTCAGAATTACCAAAACGTGATAAATAGACCAACTTGCTTGTTGGTTTTATTTTTAGTTAAAATTTAAGTGCATAAATTATCACTTATCTTTATGTATCTCATATTCTTTCTGTGTGTTCATTGGAAGGAATTACTAGCTTTTTTCAAGTGGAAATCAGTCCTAATTAGTGAATGAGAAATCGGTCAGGTATGAATAAATTATTTACATTTGATGTTTCAACTCGGAAGAAATAGTTGATAATGGTAATGTATTAAAACTAATGTTGGGAAAGTGGAAGGAAAAAAATATTCATTAAATTAAGTAGTAATTTTAATGTGAACAATAATCTTGCATATTTATTTTAATCAGAAATTCATCCTTTCACAGTTATTATTCCATTAGACGTTTTAAACTGCATTTCATGTTGTGTGTTTCGTGGGATTCAAGGGAAGAAAAGAAAGAAAGGAGAGAAAGGGGAAAGTTCTGTAATTTTCAGATGTTTAATCAATTAGAATTAGACACCTTTTCTGGAAGAAAATAAGTCATGTATTTATGTCATTATTATCTGTTCACAGCTCTCTCCAGCCAAGAAACAGGACCTGTTCCCAACAGGCAAGCATCAGGAGCCACTGATAACGAAGCTTTCTGATTCCACCTATGCTCTTGGCAAAGACATGCAGTCCATCTTCATGAACACAGATGGCAATCCCATCCAGAAGTATGCTGTCAAATGGTCAGAAGTACCTGTTGTAGTTGGTAAGCGACTCAGAATTTGCTTATCCTAAACCCATACTCGTTCTTAATGGCTCCTTCACAAGGAAACTTCAGTGTAAGTGTCACGTAAATGTGAGTGTAAAAGTGAATGTTAACATAAGAGGTAACTGTGAAAGTTTGCAAGCTTTTAAGTTCATGTTATCATGATCTGGGAACTAATATGTACTGCAACTAGATTCTAAGAACTTCTAATGTTTATTAGACAGAAACTGATGAAGTTTGTAAGAGCATAAATTATAAATATCATCATCATCAGTAATGCTCATGAATCACTCCACAGAATCATTCATGGTGTATGAAATAATTATTGGACGGGTATGATAGTGTCCATTTTACTTCAAATTGTTCAATTTAGAATTTCCGTTATAGATTTTTATTGTTTGGATACCGATGAGTGGCTAGAGTAGAAGTGGTCACTCCATGAATGAGGGTATTGTGAATGGTTCATCCATGTTTATGTATAATATACGTTTATGTCCTTCTGTCTATGTTATTGTTTTCATTGTGTGGCCCTTAAGACTGGAGGTTGGGCTCATTCCTAAACTCAGAGGTTTTTCCTCCAACATAAGACTTCCAGATTTTACACTCTGGACATAGATTCTAATCAATGTTGGGTGTTGTTACCCATGAAAACTTCAGCCTTTCTTCACCTTTGATTGGATATAAAACTTTATATTATAGAATAGTCTATTCATTTTTTGGTACTAACTTGTCAGTCCATATTTGCCAGACATCCGTAGTCGTTTTTGCTTATTATGAAGTTTTCTTATTTGTATAAATGAAAAATGTATGTTATTTGAAATATAATATCCAATAAAATAATAAATTAAAATTTTCAATTGGTGTCACATAGGGGAGACGGCATCTCCCCCCCTCGTAACTTTACCACTGATTCTAGTTTTAATATCCTCATATATCACAGATTTATTTTAATTGGTATTTTGAGTAGCTGTGGTGATATTTTTGGTGAGAGTTTCACTGAAGTATACTTGCGTTCATTGTATCTTGGTAGTTTGGTTTCTTGCTCCCTTATTATATAAGAGGTATTTGCGGAGAAGCATTAGGTTTGAATATATTTAATTCTAATTAATTTAAGGAATTTTGTTTATTTATCTCTTAATGATTTTTTCTTTGAAATAATGATCAAGAAACAACTCCATTCAAGTCTGGCTGTATTTTGTAAGTGGAAGTGTGGACATGGGAATTTAATTGCTCAATTAATATTTTTCTTTGTCATCTACTGGAATATTTTTTCAACAAAAAATCTGGAATTTCAAAATTATATAATACATTTCATTCAGTATATTCCACATGTGTACTGGTTTTGGCTTTCCTACCAATATCAATTTATAGATGTTTTGAAAGAATATTGTCATCCTTTTTTGAAGTTTGATGTTGCTTGAATTTCAACTTTGCTTTGTTGCAGCGTATGATGAACCGTATCTAATTGCCCTCCTATCGGAGACGGTGGAAATAAGGACAATCGAACCATGTCTGTTCATCCAGTCTATCAATTCTGCATCAAAAGCCCGCCTTGCCACCCAAGCTCCTCCGGATGGGCGGCTGTACATCGCCTCAAGTTCTCACGTGTGGTTAGTGCGCGCCATGCCAGTGGAGCGCCAGGTGCGCACACTGTTGCGTGAGCGCCAGTTCCAGTTGGCGCTCCGTCTTACTGAGGCGTCACCCGGCGCGACTGATGACGAAAGAAAGCGCAGTTTGAAGGAGATCCAGAGGCTGTATGCATTAGATTTGTTCCAGAACAAATTGTTTCACGAGGCAATGCAAGAGTTTCTCAAGCTAGAAATAGGTAGGGAAAAAATCTTTGTCTACATCTTTTAATTGTATGCCTTTTTTCCTCGCTACTGCTTACGCAGTACAGATAAACTATTGTAATGCTGTGGGGGAAGAAAGGCAAATTTTTGACAGAAAAACCCTTATTGTCAATCCCTGATAACAAAAAAGAGGATAGATCTTGTCCCTATATATAGCAACTTCCTTTAACTTGTTAGGCAGAATCCATACTTTGTGGGTCCTTGGTAATAATAAAAATCAATTGACGGCAAAATGTTTGTACATCTGTGGCCAATGCTAGCGCCTAAATTCTTCAACCAATTTGCTCCAAAATTGAAATTAACCTAATCGATTGGACTGATGTCGCAAACCTTTGAATTTGAAACCGATATTTTAATTTTGAGGAGTATTTTACATGAAGCTCCTGGGATATTTTCAAAAAATGGCAGCAATTTTTTTTATTAAATTTTGTCCTTGGATAGTGTAAATAACATTTAAGAGAATGGCGCAGGTCTCATTTTTATTTCCTATTGTCTTACAGGTATGGTATTGAAGATTGAGATTTTTTCTTAATGAAATTGTGTGATTTTCAGAGTAAAGTGTGGAGTTTTGGATATCCCAAGTGGGAAAAATGCTTTATTTTACATGCTTTATCTACTTGATATTTAGGAATCAAACTTTTTAGATAAAAGAATGAGGATTTGCCGAAGTAAATTTTTTCTTCCTACTTTTTTAAGTGGGTGTAAAATCCTTAGAAATATTTGGTAATTTCATTAGGTAAATTATTTGCTTCTGAGCTCTCCTTGTAACATCTGATCTTATGACATCTTGCATTGATTATCAAAATGCATTTAAATTTACTTGCAAATTTCACTGTTGCAGAGTTGTCAGAAAAGGCATTGCTTTGAGTTTCTTTCCCAGGAAGCCGTTCGTATTCCCAGTGTCTCTTTTCACTTGTCCCTGCAGTCTGTCATACCTTGAATGTTTGGTATACTATACCGACAACTTACGTGTATTATTTGTTAACTTTATACCTAAGCAAATGGGCCGGTGACCTCCACATGCTAATAATGGCATACTCCAAAAAATCTCTGAAAATAATCTCTTCAAAGAAAAACCATGCATGGATTTTCAGAGATCAAGTTTTTGTTATAACATTTAAATTAAGCAAGAAATGAAATTGTGAGAATGAAAAAACAAAAAAAAAACTATCAACTCTAATCTCACATCAAATCTAATGTATCAAAATCAGAAGTTCAATTTCCTATTTTCTTAATAATTGTTACTGTCCTTTAATGTCCTTTCACACATTTTAACGATCAAAAAAAAAACCCTCAATGGCTCTATGTTACTTGTGAAACTTGTGTAAAGTCTTTGTCTCTGTAATATTGTCCACAGTATTTGTGCACAGGTTCTGAATTATTCATTTCAATGTAGTCTGCCTGTAATCACTCCTATACCATAATCAGAGCTCACGATTTTTATGCTCTCAATTTCTTCTCTCAAACAGTATATTTAATACCATGAAAACTGTCCTCCTATATACCTCTGGACAAGACTTTATTTGTCACCTGTGACCAGTGCCACTACATGTACATACCCAGTCATCATGGTTCCAAACGATCTTGTTGAATGTGATCTGTCAGTGTTATTGCAGGTGTCAGATATTTAAGTCCTGAGTTCCACAAAACTAAAGTACCCACGATCAAGCTGTTTGCATGCTGAATGTTAACATATTCAAGTCACTGACAGTAGAATCTTCGGGCATAGACAGATTACCATAAATTACAATACCCATAGAACCTTGGGTGCGCGATTCATACTGTATATTTGCTTATAGCATTCAATTTTTTCATTTGCTGACTATTCATGGAGGTTTCTACATCAATAACGTACCAAAAAACACTACCAGATTTCATTGCTTCCATTTAAATGATATTAAATACCTTTGCAATACATGGATTTGCATGCCTTCTGCTGTGAAGTTAAGGCGCGTTCTTCACTATTATCACACTGAAGCCAATTATTGTGAATAGAAAGTAACGTTTCCCCCCCCCCCTTATTGCATTATACACTACTGCGATGTTATGAATAATGTTCTAATATTAACAGAATTTATAAGAATTTAATTCAAATAAACATGTTAAACTTTTTTTGGACTAAATTTCTTGTGTGTTTGATATTGAAAAATATTTTACACTATTAATGTAAACATAAAAGTTAGAACAAATAAAATTACAAGATTGTTTCTTGAAAATATAATCTTGCTAAATATGTAAATATAATATATGATAAATATATAAATATCTTACTTCTATATTTATCGATTTAGAAAATAAGACCTTTCAAATATTCCCCAAAACCTTACAACCCGTTGTGAAAAAGGTGAGGCCATGACCTGAATGTGGTAATGTGGCATGTGGTGTTCCGCTGTTTTAGAGGTGTCAAAGATGTAAGTTAAGCATATGATGTATAGTGTGATTCAGCATGCAGGTGAGTGTTACCAGAGCAACTTGTTGCAGTCGCTGGAAAAAGCAATCCTGTTGCAAGGTCTCTTGAAGTGTGCATTATCATCGATTTCCATTTTGGCTTTTTGCTGCGTTACTTTTTCCACTTTTGTTTTCTCTTGCAGATCCTTACGAGGTGATCCGGTTGTTCCCCGATTTGCTTCCACAGACATCGCGGCCAGGCCCTGAACCCAACCCTCCTCCGGACACGAGAATGAAGTTGCAGGACCGTGAGCTGGAGAATGGTCTTTTGGCTCTCATAGAATTTCTAACTGAGGTAGGAAATGATCGTATGCTGTCAGGCTAGTTTGAAATTTTTGAGGAAATTTTAAGAAAGTAGAGAGATTGTCTGTCGAATTCCACTTGTATTACCGTTTTCTGCCTTAGTTTTATCTATTATTTAATGGTATTGAAGAATTTACATTATTTTCGTAAAGATTTTGGAGGCAAATTGTCAAGAGAATAGCACATTATAGACATAAATTAAGGGTTTCCTTATTTTTGCAGCATAGCAGATGATGCTCAAATTTTCCTGTAGGGGAATGTCAATAATTTGAAAACAAAACACACACTCACACACACATGTGCACACACATACACACACACATACACACACACACACACACACACACACAGTAAAATAGAATTGATTTTTGTTGTATTTGGTTCTTTCCATTTGAGAGTCTGTTTGGCTGGAATTAGAAAATTGTTCCTAAATACCGTATTTATCTGAAAATAAGTCTCAACTTAAGTGGCCCTTTTCAAGAAGTCTCCTGAAAAATTGTTAAAATGTTTAATTAATTCTTCCTATTTAGTCGAAATAAAATTGCAAATTGCCTAATTGACTAGAAAATTGTCTTGGAGATATAAATATTGAAACTTGTGGTCTGAGCTAACACTATTTTCTTATTCCTTAAAAATCATTGATTTTTGTCACAATCCCCGTCATATTCATATGTATATTTTTTTTATTTTTGGTCCTTCTCCTATATTGCAGTGTTCTCCGATTTTTTAGGCTTTTTCAAAAGTTTTGTATTGAATTTCCACTCCGTTTTCCATCTGACACCACCTCAGAGCATTTCCAGATTTTCTTCCTGTCCCCCTTTTTATGATTGCCTCTGAATTTTTTAATTGATCTATTTTAACTAATTTTTGATTTTTAAGAATGTACCTGAACTTTGTATGTTCATGTGATAGAGTTGTGGATTGGAATCTCATACATCTCTGTTCCTCTGTTTTGCAAGTAACTCAGGATATAACAGCAAGTTTCCATGCTTAGGAAATTTTTGCTAAAATAAATATTTATCTTCCTTTTCTGTTGTTCGATGTTGAATGTGTATTTCTGCAATGTGAATTTTTCCATTTCCATCCCTTGCAAAATGCAGTTTCGGACTCGCTGGTTGTTGAACATCATCTGCCCACCCTTATCAATGTTAGTGGAACAAAATCTTTGCAACAAGTTTTATTGATTTTCACATTGTGTTTCACTTGATTCAATGCCATTCATTTGATATTCTCTCTTAACTGGCTCATTCAAAAGTATTTGTCTGAATCGCCCTGCAATTTCACAGTGGATGCTGAGAAACACGTCTGCGAATATAACTAGATATTATTGATACACATGATATTTTTATTGTCTTCACTGCTTTCCATATCAACATTTATGACTTGTGACATAGAAGAGCAATGTAAAAACATAAAACATAACCAATCACCTAAATTTAGATCCACCAAATATGGCATTACATCTTTGTAATAATTGAAATGTAAATTTCTCAATTTCAATAAATATTAAATAGACTTAAATGAAACTTCCAAGGTGTGTTTGGGAAGTATTTGGAGGTTAGCAGACTTTTTCTGCTAGATTAGATTGTGAAGTGCATGATAGAGAAAATTTTATTTAGGTAATTATTGCATGTTATTAAATAATAATTAATAAAAATGACTGCATTTATATTACTATTGGAGATTTATGAAACATTTTGGGAATTTGCACTGTCAAGTGACTGTCATGTGAGATATTTCCTTATATATCCCCAACCTAACTCTGAACCTAATCCAACTGTTAAGAAACAATTCTTCAAGGATGTTAAGTAAAAAGTTTAAGAAATAGATGTGATTTGCCCATGATTTTCAGTTTATTCCAATTATTCTCTGGTTTATGCGCCATGGCCTGTGAGTCTGCAAATTTGTATATTCCTGCAAACAATGAACCAGTTGGACCAGTTATTTGTGATTTTGAGTGTTCTTCCGTTTCAACTTTAAAGTTTCTGGTTGCAACAGTTTAAACAATCGGAAATTATTAAATAAAAGTCGGGAGAGTCCTGTTTAGAATTGCATACTGCTCAGCTGTGAAACTCCACTTGTCAACACTGCAGCAGTTGTTCGGATGTGTCCTGGTTACAAATGTTTTTCATACGCCCATTTAATAATACCCTAAGATATGAAAAGGAGAAGAGACAAAGGCCTTGGAATTTAGGAATATATGGCTTCCTGAGCAAAGAAACCAAGTGATTCCCTGCCTTATGCAATTGCGAGGGACACACGTACATCTAGTCCAGGGTTGTCCAATTGGCAGCCCGCAGGCCACACGCATTTTATAAGGAAGGAGCTATAACAGTGACCTAATGTCATTGCCTATTTAAAACAAACCGAAGTATAAAATCTTTGGTAAACTCTAGGAATATTATAGATTTCATTTGATTTTAGTTGGTTCCTAACCAAGTGTTGTTTCATTTGTTTTTTCATGGTAAAAACTACTAGTACTATTTTAATACAGCAATAAGGCCATTGTGAATTGGTAAATGGCTTTTACAGAAACATTCTCACATTATTTTTATCTTAATGTCAAGTGTGTTTCAATCCATGTGATACATTTTCAAGTATAAAAAATGTGAAGGAAAATGAATAAGGTTATTTCTCAAGAATAAATTGTCATAGTTATGAAATATTGCGAAGTGAATATTTTAGTAAGTTTGTTAAAAAGAGAGGTTTGCAGACAAAAGGAAGAAAAGGGGCAATGTAAAATGGAGGTGTATGGTAAAATATTCTTAAAGCTTTTGGAATCAAAATGAAGTACCTAATCTCTTTTATTGAAAGACCTTAAAATTATAGTTCATATGAAACACATCCATTTTCTTTAGACAGAATATTTAAAAGTGGTGTTTCCGTGTAAAAATATGCATTAATTTGGTTCAATTCATATGCCAAAGGAACAGTCACATACATGGGAGTCGAGAAAGCATTGTAAAATAATACACAAGAACTTTGTTAAAAAAGAAATAGCTTAAGAATTCTGATATAATGAATGATTTTAAATTATAAAGTAATAGTATACAATTTTTTAAATTTTTTTACTGTATATATGTTGTGATTTTTTTCTCAGGATTTTGAAAGAGAAATGGATGTTTTTAAAATTAACATCAGAAAATCTCCAAAGTTCGTATTAATTTAAATAGCCTTATGAAGAAAGGTTTCAATATCTGAATTAATATGGATGTAATTGAAACTATGCATTTCTGTGAATGAGATCAACCCGCACCAAAGTTCCAGAGATGAGATGGGAACAGGAAAATATATAAAGTAACCAATAAAGAACATTAATGCTGAATTTTACGAAAAGGCAATGTCTGATGTGAAGTGAAATAAAAAATTCCCTATTTCTACAAAAGGCTGAAATCTTTCATTGGGTATTCACTTTGGCTCAACTATCCAATATTGGGAATTGACACTCTTCATTAAACCTCTCCTTTCTCGTTGGTCTGGTGCAATTTTCATTTGGTACTTAGAATATTAAAAGCTGAACAGGATTATTGTTCTCAATAAATTAATTGTTATTCTGTTGATATGAGGATTACAATCAAATAAATACATTTCAGGAATTTCTTATTGTATATGTATTTAAGTGTATAATATTATTATTTATATAGAATAAATTTTAGTTATATTTTTCTGTTTGATCTTGAAACCTTTTTCCCAAAAGGTATGTTAAAAATAGCGCTGACTAATGTATCAGAAAAGTGAATATTATATTGTCATTTAAAAGAGCTTACTTTACTCGAGTTGAGATGATCTTTCTTTTTTATTTTAATTTTTTTCCCTTAGGTTCGATGCAAGTTGATGCGAGATGTGAAGAATCGAAATCACACCAACACCAATTCCCCCAATAGAGTAGTCAACAATAACAACAACTTAGGATTGGCCAGCAACGGGGAAAGTGTCAATGTAACGGACAATGGATCTGGGAGCAACAGGGTCCGTGATCGGAGCACGCAGCAGCTTCTACAAATCATTGACACCACCCTGCTTAAGTGCTACTTGCAGACAAATGATGCCCTTGTCGCTCCGCTCCTTCGACTGAACCACTGCCACTTGCAAGTAAGTACACGGTTATGGCCAATGAACCTCAAGGATATCAGGGGAAGTTTAATCATTTTTTACATTTATTTAACTTCCCATTTCCCTGAGTATCTTTTTACATATTTCTTACATATATTTATCTTCCTTTTCTCCAGAGGAGGTATTTTAAATCAAAGTTATGTGTTTTTTCTGAACTTTTTGTAACATGCTGTCTTGAACAATAAAATCATCAAGTTTGATATAAAACCTTGTTTCAGAATACATAACTGGAAAAAACTTTTTTAAGAGCCGTTGATAAATTGCACTTGTTTTGAAAGATTTATGTTATTTTGTGAGTAGTTGAGTAAATGGTCAACAATTTTCATGTTAGATTGTTGGAAATAGTAGGTTATCGCTAGGGGGCGAGTTTTAATGAAATGTGGCTTTTTTTCTTTTCACTTTAAAACAATGCCGTTTAGTGAGGAAATTCAATTTATGTTATGTCAAAACGAAATGACCCATTTTTATATGTATTAGGCAGAGATTTTCTTTTAAAGATCAGTCCAAACCAAAAGTTTACAAGCTGAGTTTACTTCAACAATCTCAATTACTCCAGTTTCATACTCAACAGCTTGAGTTGTTCATCAGAAGTGGTTTTGATCAATTTTTTTGTCATTTGTCTTTGTATTTAGGGCATTTTTAAAACATTTTAAGAGAATTTCATTGCTTATTTTTGGCAGTGTTTTAGGTTATCAAAATTCGCTCCCTAGTTATCACCTTTCAGTAGAAGCCAATGGAGCAAATGACTGATCGTCACTAGGCTTTCAGTCAGATTGATCTTCTGAATACTGATGAACAACTTTCTCGGTTACTGGAATGTTTGTTGGAAGTGTAGAATAGACCAAATCATTGTTTCCCTTTCTCATCAGTTATAACATGAAGAATAGGTTAACATAAATAGGTCATTGAATTTTCTGAGTCATCACCATTTTCAATTTTGAACTTAATCCAATGTAAGAACATTTGTTACTTAAAGAAAGCCAACTAGTTGAAGAATCAAACTAGGTAGTGAACTAGTGTATACTAGAAGGTCCCTTGATTATTGATTATTCAAGAGATAAAGTAATGTTTGTGCTGGTTTACTATTGTCTTCCTTGCTTAACTCTAAAGAAAAAACACACTTTGTGGAATTTGTACCTTGAATCAGAATATGGAACGTTAACCATTGTAACTGTGTATACTATTTAGATCAGGCCAACTTAAAATAGTGGCGCTCTGGCTGTCACCCAGGCAGCTGTGGGCACACGAGCTACCACCACAATTGTAGCCAGCACAATAGTTACCAGCATTCAAGTACTCAACAGTTTTGGGAAGTCTGGGTCTGTGAAGGGGGCCATCTTTTGTGTTGTGCATGGATTATTTGTTTTTTCAGCCATCCACTCGAAGAAAACTTCTGTCTTGTTTTTGCATGACTAATTACTGGATAATAAATGTGATTGGATTAATGTTTTTAATCATTTAAGACTTTCTCCTTTTATCCTGGTTTGGATTGCAGGATTTTTAGTATAATTTTTTTCTGTCGTAGGGACAAACACTAATTTAGGCTTGGCCTGTAGATTTTGCACCTGTGTCAGATTTTCACAGGCTGGACAAAATATTAAAATAAAAGAAAATAATAAATGCAAAACGATTCTTTTAAGTGAAAAAACATTTTTACTTACGTAATTTGTTTATGGATAGATATATGTAATTTAATGAAACAAATTTAGAAAAATTAATCTCGGGCTGCAGATATTCATTACATGGGTCAGAGGGATGTATGTTGGCCATGCCTTTGCTAACCACTTCTATTATGATTCAAGAAGTGATGCGGTTGTGATTCCCGTTCATGCTGGTAGGCTGCACTCAAGTGGGAAAGTGTGGGGAGTAGGCAGAGGTGATAACCCAAGCTGCGATTCAGTTCATTGGGCAGACCAGATTTAATTTACTGAGAATAAGAATAGAAGAGTCAAATGTGCATTGCGTCACAAATTATACAAACTATTGCTTTCAAGCTGTGACATCCTTTGTCTATTCCTTCTCTACTCTTTCCTTCATTGAAAGCAGCAAAATTTTACTTTTCCTGGAAGGATGTGTGAAATGTGTTATAAGGCTGAAACGGCCACATTTCTGAATTTTGTGTACATTGTCTTGTTTTTTTTTGTGTTTCCAAGGAGACTGAAAAGACGTTACGTCGGCATCAAAAGTACTCGGAGCTAATCATCCTCTACCAAACAAAGGGCCTTCACCGCAAAGCACTGGAGCTTTTGCAGAAGCAGGCAGACCAACCAGATTCGCCTTTATTTGGACACGAGCGTACACTGAACTACCTGCAACATCTTGGTAAGATTGCTGACACTTGTATTAGGCACATCAATATAGAAATAAAAGGGAATATGCGTGTGTCTGTTGCATTTGACGTAAAAACTACTTGGCTGATTTCGCCAAAATTTTCACATTGTTCTTATTAGTATCGTAATATTTAAAGGGTGGTGTGAATTAAAATGGACATGTGGGAGTGATGTTTTGGCAAAGTTAATCAACGACATGGGCTCTTCTCTATTTTTTGAGGACCTTGCTTGAAGTGGGATCTGTGGATATGTTTCTAAACTACATGCTTCATTCTGACTCATAATTTCGAATAACATTGAAGTTTTGGACTAGAAAGCAGGAGGTCTGATGTATTTAATATGTAGTTAAAGTGTAGTTAATATGTAGTTTATCTTCATTGTAATAATAAAATCATAAATTGATTTTGAACTTGATTATTTAATATACTACAAAATAAAGCATTGCTGTTACTGATGCTTTTAAATAAGCCCATGGAAAGGTTGAGAATAGTGTTGCTCCTGCTGAAGCGTTTTCCAATTTTTTTCTTGACATCTGATATTTTCTTTCTGTTTGACTGATTGGATCGATTTAGTCTACAGCGCAGGCTTTCCACTCATAATACTCTGATTTTAATTAATTCCCAGAGTTTAGAGGCACATCTAGGGAAAGCGAATTCGACTCACTAGTAATGTCGAGGTGATTGTCTGTGGAAGGTCCTGTATTTAACAATTCAAACAAGAAACCTCATTGTGAGTTCAGAAATATTATTTGTGCCTTTTCGTTGACACATTTATGAAGAATAGCAGTACTGTGCCACAATGGGTTTTGTCAATCAAAATATCTATACTAAGACTAGAACAATAGGCTTAATGCAAAATGTCATAATTGATATACTACTATTAGGTTTGTTGAAAAGGATATGAAGTCTCATAATACGTATTGTTTTTTTTAATATGAGTTTTGAGGTATAAAGAAAAATAAATCATTCACAGTAACCCTGAGATGATTTTGTGGAAAGTATGTATTTAATACATGTATTATCTCTCTGATGGTGTTTTTAATAGAAACCTCAGTTTGAGTTCAGATGTTTTGGTTGTACTTTTCTTAACAATTCAATAGGGAACAGAAAGCCACTGATTCTCACTGCAGTGTGGCTAATCAAATATCACGCCTAATACTGTGCAACGGTAACGTCTGTGTAGAGAAATTGACATATGTGATACTTATCTAGATACTTTTCGAAAGTGACACTTAATGATGCAGTACTTACACACCCTTACTAATGAAAGATATGTCAATTTGTCATATGCCTTGACATTTTTTCTCATTAATATAACTGAATAGGAAGACATATGTGCTGATTCTTCATGGTTCTGTTTGTCTTTTCCATGGTCCTGCTTGTATTGTATTATATTTTATGTGCTGTGGTCAGTGTTGAATACTAGGTGTTTGCATGTGCACCCAATTTAGACAGCTAGGTTGAATTCAGCCACTGACAAAAGAATTCTAGCGGCCAGGTGCTCTGATTGGTAGTTTTGTGGTTTCTTTGATCATAGCTAGGCAAATGCTGTAGCAGTAGGCCAAGAATCTGGTAATGGACTGCACACAATCTTTCCTTTCTCTTCCTTGTCTTATCCTCACCCTTTATTTACAAACATGTACATTCACTTGAACTACACTATCACAATCATTGGGAGACCAGTTGGGAGCTTAGAGTTTGTCCCTGCTGGGCAGTTGGAGATACCTAATTGTAGAAAATCCCTGCAATCCACTGTAGGTCGGTCAGTGGGAGAAGATCCCTGCCATCTCTGCAATGAAAACATTCAATACACTTACAGGACTAATGACCTTGGTAGTTGACATGCCTGGAATCACTACTCACTCAATCAATCAATCAATCAAATTCTAAACCATCATGTAAAATGAGGGGGTTTTCTCAGGGCACTCCAAAAAATAGTATTTCAAATGAAGAGCTTTCCAGAAACTACTCTGGGCTGCCCATTTCTGACTTGTATCATGAAAGCCAAAGCCCATTCAGGAAATGCAAATAATGTTGGCTTATGGACCAAAGGAGCAATTCCCCAATGATGTGAATAGTATTGATCTGGCACAGTGGCTTTCTCTTTGAATAGCTAGACTTCTTGAAGATATATTATGTATTTAGCACAGTTGTTCATTTACACATCTAGTACAGAAGTAATGAAGGGAATGGCTAGTCTTTTGAACCCTTTTAAATGCTCCTGGGTGGCTGATGTGTGACACACGTCTTGCATCATATTTATACTTTAGGTCTATTGTGAACTATGCTTGTTTGAACATAGATACCATGATAGACATGTCAGCGCTAGCCAGAAACGCGTCTGCATGAGCGAACGTATCCAGAGGCTCCCGGGACATTACGGTTCTTCATACTATCTCGTCCATTGGCTCCCAGCGACAACCTGATTGTAATAATTGGTCTAGAGGCTACCACACACAGAAGTATTTCACATATTTGTCTAGAGCAGTAAAAGGGTTGAGGGGAATTGCGTTGCAAATCTGTTGAACAGTTAGTAATGGATAGGCAACTGCATTTGAGATCAGTAGTATTGTGCCTTCTTGAAATTCTTGGAGCAGTAGCAAGCTACTTCTGCTTTGCCAAGGGACCTTACTGCTGTTTCATTTTTCCAGTTTTCTCTCTCCCCTGGGCCATCTCTGAGGGTACCTAATGGATCAAAGGACACTAGATAAAGAAATCTGACCGAGCTGTAGTTGAACGTTGATATTGATGACTTTCTTATTGTATCTTAGGCTTTAATTGATTCTGTTTGAATACCAGACTTAGAATATATGCATGACCCAATGTTAAGTTAGTGTTTGCTGTGATAACCAATTATGATGCAGTGTAGAAAAGATAAAATATCTAAGTTTGTTATCTTTTAACAGTGTTCAGTTTGTACTATGATATCTACATTATCTTACATTACAACCTCAAATTTGCAATTTTTCAAGTCTGCAAACTTGAGGGTAATAAAATGATTGTATACCTGCTTTCAAACACTTTTACCTTTGCGCTACTCCTTTAACTTATTTCTGCAGTGATCTTCCTTCCCATTAGTAATACATCATCTCTGCTCTGAAGAGAATGTGTTTTCACGATATCATGTTGTGGCCAAGTTTGTCCGTGATTTGAGTTACATGTGATCATTTCAGAGGGTTTATCTCTTATTTTCCATTTTTATGCTAAAACAATTGTTTTAGCAAACTGGGGAGCTTTTGGATTGAGCTTTTCATTTAATTTTTTTTTCTTTTCTTTTTCATCCCTTCTTTCTTTTTCCCCCCCTTTCTCTTTTCCCTCGTTAGCGTAAATATCGGATTTGTGTATTCATTCATATAATTTCAAAGGCTTTATTTTTGTGGTCTGCTTACGTGATTGCAGGGAAGGACAACATAAAGCTGATCTTCGACTTCTCGGGCTGGGTGCTGGAGAGGCACCCGGAGGAGGGGCTGAAGATCTTCACGGAGGACGTGATGGAGGTGGAGCAATTGCCCAGGCCCCAAGTGCTGGACTTCCTGCTCCGGCAGCACAAGCACCTCGTCATCCCATACCTGGTGAGCACTGAGGGGCAAGTACTTCGGCTAGCAGCAGAAAGAAAGGAAGGAAGGATTACACAGAAATTAATTTTTTTTAAATGTAATGAATAACAAAATAAAACAAAGTAGTTTTTTTTTTTTTAAGTTAAACTCTAAACTCAAGATCTCAGGGACTAACCATGTAATGACAATGATATCATAATCATCTAAAACCTAACTAAACTTTACAAAGTCTTGCAATCTCCTAACATTTTTATAGTAGATTTTTGAATTGCCCCGAGTTAGATGTTATTTGATTTTGTCACAACTACAAAATTAACAGTATTTAGTTGCCCGATCTCTCTGCCTCTTATGTCAAATCTTAGTTAATCTTATATGGTTCAGTACAATTATTCTTGCTTATCAGGAAAGAGGCAACCAAATTGGTTCTTTTTCAATGTAACTGTGATAAGGTGATAACACTTCTACTACCTCTACCTCTACTTCTACCTCTACCTCTACTCTATAAGCTATAGCACTAATGCTAACAGTACTAATGTTAATAGCATGACTGATGCCTATCGTCTGCCACTTTCCGTTAATTGTCTGTTCAGTGAGATTTGCAACAAATAATTGTGAAAGATGAGAATATGATTTTTTGGTGGCTGATTATGGATTGATAATGTAGCTTATTCCTACATTTTATTGGTGAATTGTAATGGGAATGAGACTGTGTCTTTATTTTTATTGTTATGTATTTAACTCAATGTACCAAAGAAGAGAAGTGTAAAATCCAAGTTTCCATCATGATGCAGTAATTAACAGAAAAATATTATGTAAATCTTCCTCTAATTACAAACACTACTCTCATCTGAAAACAAAGTATAAGTATTTTATGAAAAGTAGTTTGCAATTTTAAATAACAATTAATGCAATTTATCACCACCTTAATGCAAAAAAGGTTAGAGGTCTATCTGATGTGATGCATTTTGAAACATCGATCTTTGTTGATGTTAAATCAATTGTTGATGGGTTTGCAAGTTATTTTTCACTGTTTTATAATCTTAATAAAAAGGGAAAAAAACAAGTCAAAGGTGCATAATTTTTCACCATATCCCAATTCTGAAGAAAGTTATTAATTTATTCTGTATTCCATGTTATCGTTAGTTAAGAACCTATTCCATACTGCTAAGAATCGAACTGTTGTTTAAAAATTTACGAGATTGATTGTGTTTAACAAAAAAAACTCTTGCTTTTCTTGTGATATGAAATATTAAAATTCTTCATCAAATAAGGAGAATAAAAAGAAGAAAAATGTTTAATGTATTATTTATCTTCTTTGGAGTTTCGAAACGGTGAATATTGCATAAATTTTTTCAGGAACACGTGATCCATGTGTGGGAGGACCAGAATCTTATCTTCCACAATGCCCTAGTGCACCAGTACCGGGAGCGCGTGCAGGAGCTGCTGGCGGCTCCGGCAGAAGGCGAGGAGCGTTCCCCTTCACAGGACGAGGAGGCGAAGCAACTGCGGGCCAAACTGTTGACTTTTTTAGAGCGCTCAACGCACTACATCCCTGAGACTGTGATCATCCACTTCCCATTGGACTGTGAGTCTTGCAAATGAGAAGGGAGGATGCAAAAAATTTAGAGTGCAACCAAAACAACAAGGGAAAATAATTATAAAACATTTTCAGTGACACAATTATTTTTTCTTAAGATAAATTGATAAAACAAAAAACATTATCAGGAGAAGATTCAGAAAATATTTTAAATTAAGTCTGAAGTGTCAGTGAAAAGGTGCAAATAAATTTTAGTCATGGTTAGTAACCACAGTGGTAGAACATGGTTAGTATTCTAGGGTTTGTAAGATTTTAATGATTTCATGTCACTTGTTCATGTTCTGAGAAATCACTAAAGTGTGAATATCAGGTGTTTGAATTTTCAGGTATTTTATCTCTAAAAGATATTCTCTTTTGATTTATCATTTACTTAGCGACAAGAGACTCTTTTTAACTCTTCAAAATTACATTGAAGAATTTCTAATCAAACATAGTCAAATCTTAATTGTGCATGTCAGTAATATTTAGTACAAACAAAGTAATAAAAAATAATGAAATAACCCGCTTTAATCAAAACAAAATATATCTGGAATCATTACAGAACTAAAGTTGAAATTGAAATATTTTAAAAACTAATCGAATTCTAAATATTTTAATAACTAATCCCACAATATTATTGAAATATTATAAAAACTAATCGAATTCTACATATTTTAATAACTAATCCCACAATATTATTTGAAAAGATTTGATACCATAGTTGCAATGTTTTTTAAATTAATATGGAAAACAGAAAAAGTATTTTTATTATCAATATGGCTATTAATATTCATTTAACCCTCTAAAGCAGATATTCTCAAGCCCTCATTCATGAGCTACTAGTAGCTCAGGGGAAAATTTTTGTTTGATCACTGTGTCACACTAACTGGAAGTTGCTCCACTGAGCTCAGATAGATGACTCACAAAATAAGCTCCTTCCATACTACCGCACAACTGGCACTAACAGTATGAGATGATTGTGCAAGCATGGTAGTTTGTTTATGTGGATAGTTTGATATGAAGCTTGGTTTGTGCTAATAATGGAGAGTCCAGGTGCAAAAAAATTAATAATTTCATTTGAAATAAAAAATCCATTTTATCTTCACCCAGGTAAAAGACACATGTGTATTTACTCAGCTGTGCAGGTGTGTCAGTTGAGGAGGAAGGGATGTTGTAGGAAATAAACAAATGTAAAATTGGGAAAACATTCTTATATCTGTCCTGATTTCTCTTGATAGCTCAAAAAATTTAAATTATGTGTCGTTGTTCTGAAGCTTCCAAAGTTCCCTATTCTAAGTTTGACTATCAGTAACTTTACACCAAGAAACTCTTACCCAGCCATCCAACCATCATGACAAGTTTGCATAACAGAGAGTACAATTGGCTTTGAAACAAAAAAAGTTTTTATAAATAATTGTCTGGTTCAGTAAATATGGAGTTTTTGCTTCGTTGGGATGCATGACAGTTCGAATCTCGAAAAAAAGTGCTTTAAATAATATATTTTCCAGTTGGTGACAGTACAAAACGATGCATGCTTCTTACGTAGTAACACAGGAAATAGCAAATATCTCAAAAATTTAGAATGCTAACTGTAAATGGTTTCATGTGTCAGGAAGTACAAAAGAAGTTATTTCAAAAATGTATAAAAAGAAAAACCCAGTTTTTTATAATTTTTATGAACTTTTAGTATAGAGCATTTTCAATTCTTTCTTTTAAGGTCTCATCTCATCTATAAACAATGATATGAGATGTTAAAAGACATAAAGATGAGACGAAACCATAAGACATAATTGATAATTTTTCTTTATTATACTATTTACAAATAGGTGTATTGTATATGTAGTATTGTGTCTGTCGGATGTAACCATAAAATTTCACATGACGATGACACATTAAACGATACTACATTTAATTGAATTAAAGTATATATAGTTATAGTATATCGAGTTATACAGAGAACTGGAAAAAAAATTCTACTTAGTTTTTACGCAAATTGGAGAACTACTCCAGCAACAACCATTACCATCTGTTATTGTTCGTTTGAGGAAACTCCATAGCAAAAGGTTCACTTCTAAATAAAGAGTTGTCCTAGAACTATAAGGGCAAAACATATGGAATATTCTACAGCTACAGTGCCCCAAGTGCACAGTGCTTTGAAGTTGCTCATCTCTGCACAGTACTTCTCTCTCTGGAGAATTCACCTCCCTGAGAAATTAACTGAAACCAATAAACTTCTGAGGCAGCTCATCATAAAAAAAATATTAATTTGTATGTCTAGTAAAGGGTTATTACTGAAGGGATTTTAAAAGTAAAGTGATCATGAAACCAAAATCTTTTTTTGTTTCTATTGTATCTGTTATCATATTATTGCTATTATTTATGATTTGTGATTTTCAAATGAATTCAACTCGTTGTGCAATGTAATATTATTTTAGTGTGTAAATGTTTACTTATTTTCTCATTTGTATAACGCTGCTTTAAAAAGAAAAATACAATATTTACCTGAATATAAGATTACCCTTAATTTTGAAGAAGTCTCATGAAAAGTTTTTAAAAAAATTAACTGATTCTTGCTATTTGGTCAACGTAAATAACAAATTGTTTAATTGTCTAAAAAATGACTTTTGATAAGAATGTTAAAATTTAGTATTGCTTAAGCTATCACTAATTTTTTTGACATAAAAATCATCTCATCATCTTTTTTGTCACCTCCATTTTTATTTTCACATGCATCATTGCTTCTTGCCCCCTGAAAGTTTTGGACTTTGAATTTTGCATTTCTCTTTCACCTGTCACCACCTAAGTATATACCCTTGTATGTCATCAGATTTTCTTCCTGTACCAATCTTGTTCATGGCCTATGAATCTTTAACGGTTCTTTCACTATCTTCAACAGAATGTACTTGGAATTTGCATCGTGTATTATTTGCGTAATCATTGTTGTTGCACGAATGTTATGAACTGGAAATTTGTATACCTCTAGTCTTGTGTGTTTTAGTAAATGTAGGAGATTCCAAGTTTGAGAATCCTTAGCTAAGACAATATTTTTGTATCATTCTTTTGTCTGTGATTGGATCTAGAATGCGTACTTCTATTAATGAGATTTTTCATTTGTAACTCTTGCAAAATGCCTATTCGTACTTGCTAGGCGTTGAACCCAAAGTGTGTGTGATCTCGCCAATCAGCGCATTATGACAGTGTCTTGGCATCAATTCTTATTCATTTTCACTTTGCGTATCGCTTACTATATTTCCATTCATTTGAGGTTCTCTCTTTACTGGCCCATTCAAAAATAGGTCTGAAATATCCGGCAAATTGAAAAAAATAGGTCTGAATCGTCTTGCCCACAAATGTTCATGAATTACTGTATTTACCAGTATTAAATAAAATTCCAAATTGTCTTATTGACTGTTGATGAGAATGATAAGAATGATGAGAATGTTAGGCTTATCGCTGATTGATCATTTTCTTGTTCTTTAAAATCATAATCATTGTTTTTGTCAATACCCTCAACATCTTCACATGTATCAATGTTTCATTCTTTTTGATCCTCCTTCCATGCTGTGACATCTTCTGGCTTTATAGGCCCTTCTGCAAGTTTTGCGCATTGAATTTGCATTGTTCTTATCTTTCATCAGATGCTACTGAAGAACATTCCCTTCCATCTGACCCGCTCTTGATGTTCTTGTTTCTTTAACACTTCAAAACGCAGATTTGCACTCACCCCACTAAACCTGCGCCATGTAACAAATTCTCTGCATTTGTTTTCACATTATGTTTTATTTGATTCAATGCTATTTGTTTGAGATTCTTTGTTTACCGAACCTACTGAAAAATATGGGTCTGAATTGCTAATGCCGAGACTTTGATTATAATTACATATTATAGATATGCGAGATATTTTTACTCTCTTTGCAGGTTATTTTACTCACATTTATGAGTTTTGTGAAATGGAATGGGAATGTAAAAACTTATGAACTAACCAACCAAGCTTAACCTGCAAATATAAGACAATCCCGCATTTTCTGACTGAGGTATTATAGAATAATATAGCCTTATAATTGAGTAAATATGTTAGTTATGTTTATGTTACTATGTAGCAGCATTAGAGTTTCTTCATGGCAGGAAAAGACTGTAAAAATATAAGCACTAACCAGCTAGGTTTAATTTGCAACTGTAAGATAACTCTCTATATTTCAAATGAGATATTTAGGAAATAAAAACTCTTCTTATATTAAGGTAAATAAGGTATCTTTCTTTTCTGTTCAGTTTAAAAACTGAAAAATATAAATAAAATTACACTTCATGTGCAGCATGTAAAATACTCTATGGATCAATGGGTTCTTTGTTGTTACAGGTCTCTTTGAAGAGAGAGCGGTAGTAGTAGGAAAGCTTGGCCACCATGAAAAAGCCCTTTCGATCTATGTGAGCATATTGGGAGATGTTCCTAGGGCCATTCAGTACTGTGACAAGGTAAGGTTACAATATGTTGACTTCTTAGTAAAATAGAGTTGTTCCACCAAGAGTAAAGACTCTTTCGATTTCTTTAAAAGTTGGTTTCAATACTCATTTGCCACATTTAGTGAGACTGAATAATGTTTAAAACCTCTTAGATAATATCATGCATATAAAAGCATGGTGGCCACATTCTAGAAAACTGTAAAAATCGGGGAATTTCAACCGCTCTGGAAAGGTCAGGGAAAAATCTGGGAATTTATAGAATAATTGTTAAAGTCCAGGAAATTTTGAGTCTGTTATATAACTAGATATTATTCCCTTAAAAAAGAAGAAGAATAGGCTGGCAAAGCTAAGGACTCAATTTTTATTTGAGTAATTTTTATTTTGTACTTTCGCATTGAAATCAGAGAGATAACATATTAGTATCAGGCTTTCTTTAATATTTTTTAAAAATATTGTGAATAACTCTATAAATCAGTGTGTGTTATCAGTGAAAAATAAAAAAATAATGCTCAGGAAAACCAGCAAAAGACTGAGAATTTTAGTTCCAGGAAATGGAGTGGCCACC